AAGTGGAGCGAAACTTAACGATACAGGCTTCAGCCTATGGCCTAACATAGGGTATTGCTCTCTTCAGCTCCTCTACAGAGTTGTACTGTGATAATATTAAACCAGGCCAGTTCCTGGTCAGGCTAGCATTTGGAAAAAATATTTGACACTGACAAAAAAAAAGCGGTCCGACTATAAGGTTTTGCTTAATGAAATAAACAACAGTTTAGCCCAATGAGTAAGTCCAAAATAGATTGAGTATCAAAAAAAGGTTCTGAAAAATAAAAATCTGATTAAAACAATATTAGCATGTGCGAAGCTTTCTGTGTAACTGTGCAACTGCCCTCTCAGGAAGGCCAGGCGTGGGTGACACTATCAGCTGGGAGGAACTGTACCCAGGAAATGGTGGACATGAACCTGCTGCGCTACCTACACACAGGCCTCCATTCTACTAAAACACAGGACTTTCTCGTCTTCCACTTGTGGGATGGAAATAATAAATCCCCCCGACAGCACTTCCAGATCTCTATCAAAGACCTAGAAAAAGGTAAAAGCATTTAGACTTTTCTCCCCCCTTAGGAATAGATTCCCTACTTGCAATATTCCTATTATCTATTACTTCCAAGCCAAAGTCTTAGTATGAACATTTTTACAATTTATTGAAAGTGCATTCAGAAATCATGAAATAAGCCGTGGTTCATCTTATTTGATGGAAAATGAGGTGTTCATATGTAGAATGTCTTTAATAGAACCAGATTTCTGGTTCCATTAAAGACATCTTTGGCAAATGAGTGCACTGGGGCAGCATTGGGACATGCTTGTAGTTAGCAGTGATGGGTACTTACTAGCACAGGCCCAATGTATCCCAACCATATTCAGTCAGAAAGGTTAGATAATGTGAGAAGATCTTGTTCAGTTTATGCTTTTTATGCTTTCTCTTTGGGTACTTGTGAAAGACTGAGAGTACGTTAGGTAAGGTAGCTCAGAATCTTTTGGCTAACACTCTTTGTTGATGTGTTCCGATTTGCTCGTGTCCTTCAGGAAACATTGCCCTCTTCGTGAAGCCCCTGACTGTGAGCCGTGGGGATCGCGTGGTCCTCACCACAGATGTGTTGTTAGCCACAGACGGCACAGACAAGCCAGAGGAGCTTATCTATAGCATTAACAAGCCTCCTGCTCATGGGCACATAGAGTACATCAAACATCCTGGACTGGTCATCTCCACCTTCAGTCAGATGGACATCGCGGGGAACCTTGTGGCTTATGTTCACGACAACCGCGCCAGCAAGACAACAGAGACCTTTCAGTGAGTTAAAAAGCTCAATCTCTCTTTTTATTTATGGGGATTAGCTGTCACCATTGATCTGACAAAATAACAAAAAAACAATTTTTAGATAATAACGTATTACTGTCAATCGGAATAACAGAGAGTTGAGTTGTGTTGTGTCCAGGGTGTCCACTGTCCTGGGTCTCTTTTGTACTATTTGTGAGTCATGAAACATAATTTCAGTTAGCCAAAGATCTGGACCAGGTGCAGGTCAGTCCAGAACCCAGGCCTTTCTCCTATGTACATTTTACAAAGTACATTTAAACTAGCTGACTTCCTGTTGGCTTTAAAGGAAAGGAACTTCTCTGTGGGTGTTGGTATGTCAGTTTTGGGCAGATGATCCAGTTAAATTGATTGGGACGAGTGTGTGAACGTATATTTATTCTTTTATAAATGCCTTAAAATGCCTTAAAGAATGCTTGTTAGGGAATATTCACAGACAGGATTACACATGACCACTGTGCAGGCACGCACGTGCAACAAAAGTCAGGAATGTGTAGCATTACCCGTGTTACCACACATACACACACACACACATACACATGCACACACACACACTTTTGCCTACTTGAGTCACCACTTATCTACACCACTATCTATCTACATTCGTTGCTTGTCATTTATTGCTGGAGATGGTGCTACGCATTCCTGATTTACCAGTTATGTGCACCCCGTTTAATGCATGACTCTGATCTAGTGTAGAAATAGAAGCTTTAGCAAAACACTCAGTCTCTTCCATCTTTTGACAGGTTTGTTGTGAGTAATGGTAAAACTACCCGGAATGGAAGCTTTGAAATTCAGGTGGAAATGGTGGATCGCGTCCTGCCCACTCTGACCTCCAACAAAGGCCTCACTGTCCCTCAAGGCTCGGTCATGATCCTCGGTCCTGAGTGCCTGTCCAGCTCTGATCCGGACACTCCCCCCAGTGCCCTGACCTTTGTCCTCAGGCAGCCCCCGCAGTACGGCAAACTGCTTTTGGCCGGCACTGCACTGGCCGCTGGCTCCAACTTCACC